CTGTCAAAAATGCAGGCAACAATAAAATATTACAAAACAAGATGCAGCGCTAATTCACCCTATGTAAAATATACCATAAACATATAAAAATAAAAAAAAAAAAAAACAGATAAGGTTCAGTCCTCAAATAAGTCCATGATGTGCAGCTGGAAATCATATAAACCCCATATTCATGGAGACAACAGTGCCACTGAAGAAAAAGAAATCCTCCACCATCAACGCACACAGCCTCTTGCCGGAAAGGAATGACCACAAATCAAGCAGTCAAAACGGCAATGTGAAGTGCATTGATGGCTAGGGGCCCCAACAGATCTCTCCACCGAAGCCTTTCCACTGCAACTTACTCCACGGCATAAATTCAATATTAAATCAAGAGGATGATCAAAAGATCCCAAATGCAAATATGTGAAAAAAATAAGACCTCTTCATTGGGTAGTATTTAGAAAATTCAAATTTTTAATAAGAATATTTCATTTACAAACAAACAATGAATGAAGTTAAAAATGTAAAATCCAAAGATGTTTCCAACCAACAAGATGGCAGCGATTTGCGGTGTGATGACGTCATGAGCTGTAGCTCCACCCTATGCGTTTTGTCATACAAAGATGACAGGGGCTTGACCAATGGCATCCATCACGCTTTATATACCCATCAGGCGGAAGCGCAATCACGCATGAACCACCTGCGCTTCAAAGGCCGGAAAGCGAACCTTCAACACTAAACCGTGTGGCATAGCAACACCACGTAGTAGAGACAATATATATCAGGACCGAGAAAAAAAAAAAACAAACCATACATTGGAGAGATAACTGGGCAAAAAAATATATATACACAATCAAACATCGACCATCAAAACAAAATAAGAAAATAAAAAGGGTTGAAAAACATCTACAGAGTAACAATAATCAATATATATTACAAAACAATTTATACAAAAAGCTTGCTAAGCGCCATCTTGTGGTTAAAAAAACCTGAGAAATAATCCAAATATTAGAATGCACATCCTAACAATTTATATATGTACAACTCCCATGTATTATCCCCTCAAACGACAACATAATTCATTGTCCTTTGTTCTAAAACAATAAAACACTAAGAGCTCATAAAAAAACAAAAAAATGTTCAACTATTGTTAATAAAAGCATTTACATCCCATTCAATATCTAAATCGAAAGGGGGCATACGTTTTTAAAATATAAATCCATAGGGACTCTAATTTAGAAATTTCCCAACTGGTAGGACTGCCATGTCAATAAGGCGTAAACCTATCAATTGTCTAATGAGTGTGCCATTAGAATTTCTCCCATGACATAAAACAGTGTTTAGATACACTATGATTTGAAAAACCTTTCCGTACATTGGAGATATTGGAGGAACTTTAATCCTAGTTTTCATTGTACGAACCGTGTGGCCTACAACTGTGGGTGTGGATTATAACTTTTTTTTTTATGGTTGAACTGGGTGGACTTTTTTTCAACCAGACTAACTATGTAACTATATATATTGTAGGCCGCATGGACACTGAACTATTAAAATTACATTCTTAGAAGTGCAGGAGATGAAGGAAGTAATATCATAGTAATAGAAGTGTGATTAGATGTAAAAGAGACTGCCTTTGCCCTCCTTGAACTATTAATCTTACAAACAGCACACCTCCTACATAGATGATATCTCTTCATTTGGCTAAAAAAAAAACAACTTTTTTTTAGGGGGTTTGATGACATTAAGGGCAATCTGTAATCTTAATGGTGGAAAACCCCTATAAATTACTTTAGGTTCCTCAGGTAAAACGTTGTCGTATGTCGAAAAATGTTCTTTATCACATAATACTGTGTGGAATAGGTGGTCAAGAAAGACCAGTTAAAAGAATTATCATCTACAGTATCCTTGTTTCGGTAATAACATTTTGGCCCTATCTATTTCATCTACTTCAAATATAATCTTATCCAGCTCACCAGTGTTGTACCTTTTGTCGTCCAAATGTTTCTTGAAAACATTAGCTTCCTGCAAATACTCATTCCCATATGTACAATTCCTCTTAAGCCTATAAAAATTGACTTCTAGGTACTGACCGTAATCAGGCTGAATGATAACTCCTTACATCAATCAAGCCATTACGGTCAGTCTCTTTAAAGAGGATTGAAGCCACAATATTACCTTCTAGAATCCTAATTTTCAAGTCCAAAAAATCGATTTCCTCACTTCTTGCCTCATGTTGGAGAATAATACCTCTATCGTTTATATTAGGGTATTAATAAAATCATTCAAAAGAACTTACATCCCCATTCCATAGGACGTCATCTATGTACCTTTTTCAAAAAGTACCAAATCAGGCCTGCATTCCACATACTGTAGATGACAACCTCCTCCCATTTGGCCATAAATAAATTGGCCATACTGGGCACGAATTTCATGCCCACAGCCACTCGACACTTCTGCAAATAATACGAACCCTTAAACCAAAATAATTATGGCTCATGGTAAAATCCAACAATTGTATTATGAACCTTTGTTGCAGTAGGCTAACATGCTAGCACATTCTGAAAAACTCAATAGTCAAAAATACCAATTTTTTTTTTTTTAATAAAAAAATTTATTAAAATACTGATATGTTAAACAGGCAGAACTGGTTATCTGTATACAGAATAAAAACTCTGTATTATTATGAACAATTCAATCCGCAATATACAATAAAAACATTCTTAATCTTTAATAAAGATTTATATGTACAGACTTTATTAGAGAAAAAAAACAAAACAAAATGTATTGTTGACAAATTAAGCAAAACTATTGAGTGTCACTATTAGTCAAATATGTTTTTTTACGGAGGCCATACAGGAAAAGTTTAATACATATGATGTGGGAAGGTTGGTGAATACCAGTGAAATAAATATCAAAAAAAGTTAATTGACTGGACTTTTACTTAAAGTGAGAGGTACTCCTAAAGGGCGCAGCTAATCATTTTTATGGCCCACATTTAATATGGTGGGAGATATCTATACTGTGCTATTATTAAGTTTATTCTGTACATAGGTGAAATACGTACTTGCTCGGTCTATACCTGTAGTTCAGAAGCAAGCAGCACCATCACGTGTTCTTTGCAATGATAGGAAAGTCGACACTCTCGAAGTGGTTGTATACCCTTACATATACCCAGTGAAGTGACTACACAGAGATGAAACAAATCCTCCTACATAACTTGTACCTGTCCATCTGCAGTCTTCTCTGTATCTGTAATTTCAGCTCTCCTCCCCCTATTTCTGAACTCTCAGACAAGCTTTCTAAATTCATCACTTTGAAAACATTGCAGAGCTCAGTGAGGAGAGCTGATTGGAGGGGAATTGCACAATCCCAACGCATGCGTTCCTGCATCAAAGAGTGACTATATGGCTGGAACCAAGAATGTCACCAGCACACCGAGGTTCTCCAACATGGGTCCAAAGCTTTAATAAGCAATCACATAGGTACAGAAAGAGCCACGTTTCGGAGTCTCGCAGGACCCCTTCATCAGGCATGTGCCTGATGAAAGGGTCCTGCGAGACTCCGAAACGTTGCTCTTGCTGTACCTATGCGATTGCTTATTAAAGCTTTGGACCCATGTTGGAGAACTTCGGTGTGCTGGTGACATTCTTCTCTGATTGGAGGGGCAAGACACAAAAGCCCTCCACACAGCACACAGGAACAGAGCTGAGGTTGTCAACTGGAAGTCCCTCCGCTGTGACCATTTTTCTCTTGGTGCCAGGAAAACTTTTTGGAAGTGATATATGTAGTTAGCACAGGAACTAGGCAGGAAAGAGAAATTATGCTTAGTGCTCTTAACTGAGACAAGTACAGACTATAGAGGGATATGTTCTGTTCATATTTTATGTCTGAGGTTTACAACCACTTTAAAGCCACTCTACAGACTTTATTATTATTATTCCACATTTTAGCCATACCTGGCAATGATTGAGCCATTAATAAGGCCAGATATGGCTGAAATCTGTAAGGAAGGGACCTTGTTGTAGCCTGTTTTGATCAAAGAATAAAGTGTGTACAGCGGTTGGGTTCATGCACGCTGGGTGTTTAAGGCTGATGCATGAGATACCAACGTGTTGGTGGGGGCTGAAGGCACAGGTAAATCAACCAACCCTACTGCTGGCAGCCTGCAGAAAGCTATGAGAAGTTAAAAGCTGCTGCAGCTGGATGGTGCACTGAGCGGTACTATGATTTAGGGCAGTGTGCGCCCAGGCTTGAATTTGTTTCTAGGTGCATACTACCTTAAAATGTTAGTACCACTTATGTGCCCAGGGATGAATGCCAAGAACGCAGACTGCTAAATGATAGTACCAGTTGGTGCACTGTCCAGCCGCAGAAACTTTCATCCTCTAAGAGTTTTACAGATGCCTTCTGCTCATACAAAAAACACAAAAATTTCAGGTACCAGGGCAAAACACCCAGTGCGAATGAAGTCCAGGAGTGCTGACTTTCCTATTGTTGCTTTGTGGACAGACAGAAGTGCAGCTGTACATCTTTTGTCTCAGTGGCTCTGTCCACATTTGTGATGACCAAACTCATGGAGTGGTCATCAAAACCACTTTAGCCCACAGCCCTATGATAGGCACATGGACTGCTATGTAAGTAGTACAAACCCATTGTTACATCCCCCACTAAAATCTTTCTCTGGCCCATTAGTGGTGCTTTTGAATGCTAATTGAATTAATATTATGTTGGTCATATCATTCGTACAGAAATCCCCAATGTGCCCCTGTATGGCCAGCATTTTAGTAAACAGAAGAAAAAAAAAAAAAGAAAAAAATGAAACAATCTATGTAATAGACGGTTTCCATCATCACATTAAATTCTGTTCATAGGCTTTTTTCAGAACACTAAAATCCTGGGTAATTCTACCCATTTTGAGGTAATGAAGAGAGCATAATTTGTGGTGGTGCAAATACTATGGATTGGTAGAAGTCAAATGGAAAAAGGAAAAAACATATCACAGCTGTGTAGTCTTTTGATCACAATTCATCATGGTTCCTGGTAAGGTCTTCTCCATAGTTTGTAGCCTGGCTGCCTACAAACATGTTCCAATTATTTAGTATCTCCTCCTTGGTCAGTAGTTTATCCTGCAAGCAACAGACAACATTAAAATTCAGTTTACTGAGAGCAGGGTTTGTGTATGAAAACTGTCTGAAAGGAAGGTGTCACTGTTGTCCATAACAACTAGATCACAGTTATTTTTCAGATAGAGTTAGAAAATATACAAAAACTTATTTAACAAGGTATTCTACAGAGCAGGGATGGGAGTACAGAACACACTAACCAGAAGTGACTAGATTTCATTTTACTATACATCACTTAGAGATCTGAATGGTTGCTTGGAAGTGGTTATTACTACAGGTACTTATATAGCATCGTCAATTTACGCACTTTACATACACAGTATATTGTACATTCATATCAGTCCCTGCCCTCAAGGAGCTTGCAATCTAAGGCCCCTAACTTACATTCATACATGCAGATATTGGGGCCAATTTAGACAGTAGCCAGTTAACTTACCAGCATGTCTTTGGAGTGTGCAAGGAAACCGGAGTACCTGGAGGAAACCCACACAGGCAGAACATGCAAACTCCATGAAGGTAGTGCCGTGGTCAGGATTCAAACCGATGACCCTAGTGCTGTCAAGCAAAGTGCTAACCATTTAGCCACTGTGCTGCCCAGGTTAAGGATTCAGGTTATGACCATTGCACTTTGCATGGCTATACTGGGTAAAGCACCTTTGGGTATCTTCATGCCAAACATGTCATGTCAAAGATCAGTGTTTCTTCTATGGCTATAGGCTTAACCTAAAATTCCAGGCAAATGTTATTTCCATTTTAGAAAGAGTTGGGAAAAGGTCAGAGTCTGTCTACATACTACACAATGAAGTGGTTCTGCTTTTCTTTGCATATACATATTTGAGAGTTTTTGATCATCCTCCTGGCTTAATACTATACTTATGCCTTGGAGTAAGCTGCAGCGGAAAAAAGACCAGTGAAGAGACCTGTTGGGATCTGCAGCCACTAATACATACCTTACACGCTTTTCGACGGCTTGATTTGTAGTCATTGTCTTCCGGTAAGAGGCTGTGTGTGTTGATGGTGGAAGATTCCTTTTTTCTCAAGCACTTTTATCTCTTCTGACGCTTGGTTTATGTGACTTCCAGTTGCACCATAATGGACTTATTCTGAGACCTGCACCTCATAACACTGCACTTTATGTTTTGAAATTCAAGTTGTTTTGTGAATATATCTTCCTTTAGTATATTAAATATATGGTAATTAGCGCTGCATTTCACTATACATTATTACTTGTTTGTTACCAACATTCTTGTCAGCTGCTTCCTTACCATTCACATTGCTCCTAGCGCAGGTTGTTTCTGTGTATAGCAGTGTGCACTGGCTGGACATACAAGGATCAATCTTTTTTCAGGGCTAACTGAAAAAAAAAAATGCATTCCTTCTTTCACAGAAGCAAGGTGGATGGAGGAATCCTCCCTGCTGTGCCATTCTATTCTGATAACATGGAACCCTCCCCTGTAAGAATACACTGATCGAATAGCTGCAGGCGCTGATCAAATTTAAATTTTCCAACTGATCGACTTCTCTCGAGCATGAACGTTCATAGATGGATCAAAATTCAGCTGGTTCAGCAGGGATCGGTTGAACTTCAATCCATCTATGGCCAGCTTTAGGGCATTATAGCTTTTATTATTTGGCCTAGGATTGAGCAGAGGCAGCTGGGTATTTTGATCAAGATAAATTAGGAGGCAGGGAGGGTAGATGCCCGTAAGGAAAGAGAAGAGGTGATCCAGAAGGGAGAGGCCACAAGGTGAGAGTGATTTGCTCATAAAGAGAGAAACTTACAAATGGTTCCCAGGAATTGTGAACATACATTGGTATAGCATTAAAAAGCATTATTTTTAACTCCATCAATATAAAAAGCTATAAATATGGGGTAAGTAGCTATCTGATGATAAAGCTGGCAAAATGCAGATTCATGTACAGTTCCTCTTCACCATTCATTTTGCTCAAGCTCTTTCATATAGGATTGCTGAGCATCCACCATTCCAATTTTATCCTTTGTTCAAAAAGTTGACTTGACATATGAGGAAATGCTGCTGCTATACTAAGCAGTTGTTCACATATTGACAAAGTATGAGTAGAATCCATGCAATTAAGTATAAACCATTTTATAACATTTCCAGCTACCTTGTTGGAGTCGGATTCATATATCAGGTGTCTGGCCTCAGCCTGGGCATGATCATAATCCTGGGGAAGAATCCAGTGTCTGATTTCTTCTTGGTCCATTTTTCCATCTTTGTTGAGGTCCCGGAAATCAGAGAACTGCTCCCTCTCTGTGGCTACCCATTCAGGCTCAGGAGTCCCTTCTTCATGTGAAAACATATCCGCTAGAAAAAACAAGCATTAGATTTAAAAAAAAAAAAAAAATACTGTATATAAAAGTAGAAAAAAAAAAATGACAGTTGATCAGCTGAGTTCACAGTATAGGTAACCTCTATAATTACAGCTGAAAGTAATCAGTCTGTGCCAAAATATGTTTATTCTGAAACCGAAAAGAAAAATTAAATGGGCACTGTACCATAACGAACCATACCATAACGAGCCAGGCTTGGTTCATTATATTCTTTTTATTTATTTATTTTTAATACCACTTGTAAAGTCATCACAGCAGTTTGCAGATTTTCAGTCTGTTACTGTTCAACAAAAGGTCTTCCCTTGTTATTAGATAAAAACAAGGACCCTTCTGAATCAGCAAGCAGGCATTTTAGGCTTCATTTACACAGCAACAGAGGGCTGAACACCATCAAGGAGTGCATTGCTGTGTATGGGAAATCGCAAGTGGTTGTGTACAGTCTGGATGTGAATTGTCTGTGTTTGGGGCCTCTCAGCTGTCCCTCTATACAGGGAACTGCTCGAACGTGCAGTTACAAGTGTACAGCTGCGGCATCTGTCAGCCTGTCATTGATTTGTACAGGCTGTCATCAGCAGCTGTACACAAACACCTGTGACTTTTGGGCACAAATCTCCTTCATAATGGTGTATGGCCATCTATGACACACAAACACAAGGGCTTCCTCAAACATTGCAGTAATAGGAAAGGGTCCTAAATGTATTATTAATTGCATCTATTGTAACTACCTGAATTTATACTGTATCACCTATAAAGCAGACCTCAGTTCCACATACACTTTTGTATCCATCGGGCTTTGATAAAGCAGAGAAAATGCTAATGTTCAGTAGGTCATAGTCATCTACTCTTCCACCATTTTATCAAAGAGAACTTAAAGTGACAGTAAAGGTTTGGATTTTTTTTTTTTTTTTTATAAATTAACATGTTCTACTTACCTACTCTGTGCAATGGTTTAGCACAGATCAGCCCCAAGCCTATGCTTCTCTGTTCCCCGCCGGTGTTCCTGGCTCCTCCAGGAGTGCTGAGTGCCCCCGTGGGAAGCTGCTTGCAATGGGGGCACTCGTGTGAGCTCGCTCCTGAGCTGCCTCTGTGTGTCTATAAGACACACAGAGCATGGCTTGACAGTGCCCCCCCAACTTCCTCCTCACTGGCTGTGATTGACAGCAGCAGGAGCAAATGGCTCCTGCTGCTGTGTCCGAGCCAATGAGGAGGGAGAGACGTGGGAGAGCTTCTGCCCTTGTGCACATCACTGGATGGAGTAAGTATTAGGGAGGCTGAGGTGATAGCTGCACATTCTATGTATGAAGGTAAAAAACCTTCAGCATTTACAACCAGTTAAAACAATCACCACGATGGCTGCTGCCCGCCAGAAAAATGAATGGCAATCAGTTGTTACAAAACTATACATTGCACTATGGGTAATCTTCGATATTCTCCACAAAGAAAACTTCTCCAAAACATTCCCTGGGCTCAGATTTCACTATCCTTGCTGCAGGCAATAAGCTGGGTCTTCTCATCTAACACCAGTGCCTGACCTCACAAATGCTCTGTTGGCCGGATGGGTACAAATTCAGTCAAATCCCAAATCTTGCGGAAAAAGTCTTCTCTGTAAAGAGAAAGGTGTTATAGCCATACAGGGAGAAACTCCATACCAATGCCTGTGGTTCTGGAATGGGACATCCAACAAGTTCATTTGGATGTGATGTTCACACATTTTTGGCCATATCATGTGCAATTTGCCCCCAAAATATATGCCCCATTTATTCCAGGCACTAACTGTGCAAGAAATTGGCATAATCACCACCCACTCCAATGGTAACACCCTTGACCTTGTATTCACCCACCTATGCACTCCCTGTAACCTCTCTAACACCCCTTTTCCTCTCTCTGATCACAACTTTATCAGACGCAGCTGCACTCTTGAGCGAGCATGGCGTAAAACTAATTCCCTGAAAGACTTTACCCTCTACAAATCCGCTCTTCTCAAATACAACTCCAGCCTCCACGCTGCTAAGCAAACTTACTATAACACTCTCATCAAGACCCTCTCATCCAACCCTCATCAACTCTTCTCTACCCTAATTCCTTACTCCACCCCCCACTACCTCCACCCACCAACTTACTTATTACACAGGATATTCACAGTCACTTCAAGAAGAAGATCGACACAATTCGTGATGAAATCTCCAGTGTCAAGCTTCCTCCTCTAACCAACTTACCAGGCCCAACACCAAACTCAACACTCCTCCTTTGACCCTGTTACCACCAAGGAAGTTAGTGAACTCCTTTCCAAGGCCCACTTCACCACCTGTCCCTTGGATCCTGTCCCCTAGCGACTGAATACCGTTGCAGCCTCCTTCCTGCTCTAACCTAAACTCTCTAACCCACATCTACAACCTCTCACACTCCACGGGCACCTTACCCTCCCCACTCAAACATGCACTGGTTAGCCCCATCCTCAAAAAACCCTTGCTGGACCCCACCTGTTTGAAATAACTTAAGATCCATCTCCCTGCTCCCGTTTGCCTCCAAGCTTCTTGAGCACCTTGTTCACAACCGTATGAACTGCTACCTCACCGACAACAACCCTCTTGATCCCCGACAATCTGGCTTCCGCCCACAACATTCCACAGAAACTGCTCTACTAAAACTCACTAATGACCTACTAACTGCTAAAACCAATGGCCATTACTCCATACTTATACTCCTTGACCTTTCCGCTGCCTTTGACACAGTCGACCACCCGCTCCTCCTCCGTAAACTCCACTCCATCGGCCTCCGTGACCCTGCTCTTTCCTGGTTCTCCTCTCACCTTTCTCAGCGCACTTTCAGTGTCACATACAACTCCTCCTCCTCCGCTTCCTCTTTCTGTTGGGATACCCCAAGGTTCTGTTCTTGGGCCCCTCCTTTTCTCTCTCTATCCCCCTCCCTGGGCCAACTAATAACCTCCCATGGCTTCCAATACCACCTCTATGCTGATGACACCCAGATCTCTCTCTCCCACTCCCCAGCTCACCCCCTCAATCTCCTCACGTATCACAAATCTACTAAGCGACATATCAGCATGGATGTTACATCACTACCTTAAACTCAATCTTTCAAAAACTGAGCTTGTAATATTTCCTCCTCCCCGATCCCCCACTCACTGTCCGGTCAGCCCCCACCCTTTCTGCCTTTAGGCGATCTTTGAAAACTCACCTCTTCCAGGAAGCTTACTCCACCTCCACCTAAGAACTGTACTTGAATCACCTCCGCCAGATCATCCCCGCAGCTATCACCTTTTGTATCACCTTCCCCCTTCCTTTAGATTGTAAGCTCCACGAGCAGGGCCCTCCTATTCCTTCTGTACTGAAATGTACTGTAATTGTACTGTCTCCCTTATATTGTAAAGCGCTGCACAAAACTGTTGGCGCTATATAAATCCTGTATAATAATAATAATCACACTGCGAATTCATAGCCCAATGGGAAAGTAGTTGTCACAGGAAGCTGTAATCTTCCAAATGAAGGAGTCATCATCCAAGCTATGCAATGTGACAGAAGTGTGTAAACTGTGGCTGTACAGAACTACAAAACATTTGGCAGGTAAAAAATAACTAAAGCAGAACTCCAGATCAAAATAGTAGGCCTTAAAAGAGAGAGTGCAATACTCCCCTTTGATCCGGAGTTGTCCCCCACAGTAATTTCTTCTGGCACTAGACAGCGCTCCTGTTACATTGACTCACTTCCTCTATTCCCAGGCTGTAACAGACCCACCCCTGGGGGGGCGTTATACAGTCAGGGCTCAAGGGTACTGAATGACACTACATGGTACTACTGCTCTACATGACGCTATAAATTACGTAGCATGCATATTATATATAGGTTACATTTTATTTTCTAATGTGCTCATGAATGTGTATATTATTTTTCATAATAATAATATTTTTATTATAATATATAATATATATATATATATATATAATATATATAAAGATATAATTTATTCTCTCTCCTTAAGTGCAGTGAGATATTTAGAGAGCCTGCAATTTGCATATGCTGGAAAAAAAAAAAAAAAAAAAAAAAAAGCAGGCTGTGGGGCACATGCTCTTCTTGAGCTCCCCGCCATGACCCCTGGCTCCCACTGCTGTCCAATCCACAGCCAGTGAGGAGGAAAAGGGGGTGGGACGGAGCCCTTTTGTGTGTCAATGGACACCAGATTGGGGCTTGAGACTGGCTGATGCAATAATAAGTGCCCCAGCTACCCAACCATTTTCTGAACTAGGCGCATTCAATATAACACTCCATTAATCAAAAAATCCAAGCATACCCAAGTTCCCCCAATAACCTCATAACAACCAATTTGGGCATGATCCCTGGCCCCCCACTCCCTGCAGAGGTGCCAAAGCCATAACATCAAAATGGGGGGCATAACAAGCCCCTTTCCTAAGTCCAATAATCAATTACCCAAATCTACCCCACTACCGCCCCCCCCAAACAAACATACCAAAAAAACAACCAAAAAACCACAAAAAAAAACATAAAACAAAAAAAAAACCAAAAAAAAAAAAAAAATCCCCCACCCCTCAAAAAAAAAAAAACTAAAAAAAACCCAAAAACAAAAAACCCCAAACCCAAAAAAAAAAAAAAAAAAAAAAAAAAAAACCAAAAACCAAAAAAAAAAAAACAAAAAAAATACCCCCCCTAAAAAAAACAAAAACAAAAACCAATTAAAAACCAAAAAACAAAAAAATAAAAAACACCCCCCACCAAAAAAAAAAAAAAAAAAAAAAACACAAAAAAAAAAAAAAACAAACCAAAAAACCAAAAAAAAAAAAAAAAAAAAAAAAAAAAAAAAAACAAAAACAAAAAAAAAACAAACCCAAAAAAAAAAAAAAAAAAAAAACCCAAAAAAAAAAAAAACCCAAAAAAAACCAAAAAAAAAAAAAACCAAAAACCAAATAAACAACAAAAAAAAAAAAAAAAAAAAACAAAAAAA